GTGGAGATGGAAAATGGCTACATAAAAAAATATTGTTAAAGTTTGGAGGTAGTTGTTGGAGGTCAGTAATGGTGGCTGGCAGTCAAAGATGAAGGCCAAAGGAGTCATCAGAGGTCGATGATGGTTGCCGGTAGTCAGAAATGGTCTTCGGTGGCCAGTTAAGAGAGAGAGAGATTCGAACAGTTATGACAGAGAGAGAGAGAGAGTAAAACGATTAAGTGATTTCTCTGTTTGGACTGAATGTTAAGAGTAAAATGGGAAGATATGCTAAATCTTTTTGAGTCAGGACCTCATAGGAATTAAGTCTGGTCTAAAGGACCAGCCCATAACTCCCCTTAAATTAATGCACTAAAAAAAAATTTAGATATAAAATATAAAAGAAAAGGTACACAATAGCCGCCTTAAGTTTACTTTCCTTTTTAGACATACCTAACATAAATATTCTTAAAAAGTAAAAAAATTATGAAAAAAACCTTTTAAAAATTCACTAAATACTAAAAATACAAAAAAAAAAAAACGAGAATTCAGTATATTTTTTATATTTTTATGTATTTATTAAAATTTTAAAATATTTTTTTACAAATTTTTTACTTTTTAGATACATCTAAGTAAAGTGCATCTAAAAAAGTAAAAAAAAATGTTTAAAATTTTAAAAATATTCACTAAAAACAAAAAAACACGAAAATCAAAAAACTGAGTTTTCAAAAAACTTAATCCAAAAAATTCAAACCAAACACACTGATTGCTATTCAAGTCAAAAAATAATTTATTTTTTAAATTTAATGATATGATAATCAATTAAGATATTTAAAGTAACGCTCTCTATCATATTTTCTTTAATTATCAATCAATCATATTATTTATATATTATTAGGTTTAGAGAGTTGACTTAAATATATTTTTTTTCATAAAAATCTTAAGTTAAACATCAATATGAGTAAGTAAAAATTCAGTGTAAATGTAATACCAATAATGAGATATCACCAATTAATAATAAACTTGCAAATGGAAGATAAATCTCACTTTTCAAATACAACTGCCTTGTTATACATATATGTGTGTGTGTGTGTGTGTGTGTGTGTGTGTGTTGGGTTGGGGGGGAAAATTTTATTTTACGCATGTGAATGAGTTTTTGTTTCCCTCTACAGAGGCCTTGGGTGTCAAGCCTTACAGAATTGGGGCCTTTCAGAAGAAGAAAATTTTTGGTGGACCCAAAACAATTAATTTTCTAAGCACCTATGTAACATTAATGTTTGAAGAGCGTTGCTATTTAAACTTAAAAGTTAAATTAAAATTTTAAATTAAATGATTTTTCTCTTATTTTTTCTCTAATTATTAATCATCCCTCTTACATATCATTGAGTTTAAAAAATAAATTTATATATCATTTTTCACGTTTGAATAACAATATTTTTAGGTGGGTAACATTGATGTTGGGATAAGTTTTGTAGGTGATAGTAATGCTCAATACAAGGTTCCAAATTTCATTCATTGAAACACACAAAAAGTATTAAAAGATTTTAAATAAATTACCAAATATTTATATATGAGTTCTATACCTATATGAGTATTATATAAAATATTTAATAATGCATTTAGGATCCCCATCATTGCTCTCCAAGATTGTGTTTGGTTGGAAGATTTGAGAAGAGTTTTAGAAAATAAAAATAAAAAATAAAAAAAAGATAGGTAAAATGTGAATAAAATATACTTCCATTTCACGCATTTTTTCCTTTTCTCTTTTCAAATCATTCCTCATATTTCCCAACTAAACACAACCTAAAAAATCCTCACTCTTTGGGAAAATGAGAGCAATGTTATAAATAATCTCATTTCTCATCTCATTTTTTTTATTCCTAGATACAAAGGTGCCGTTTGATAACACTTATGTTTTCAGTTTTCTATTTATATTTACAAAAATTTAAAAAACTCAAATAAAAACTTATTTGGTAAAATTTTTGATTTATAAATCAGTGGTCTCAGTTTATAAATTTGGCAAAAAAATGAAAACACAAAAATGTGTTTTCATTTTGAGTTTTTAGTTTTTTTTTTTTTACCACCCAACATTAGCCACCACTCGCCACCATTTTCCACCACCGTCTTCCGCCACCACCCCCCAACACCACCTGCCACCACCACTCACCACCACCCACCAGCAACCACCACTCGCCACTCACCCGCCGCCGCCACCCACTACCCACTCCTCACCACCACCACCACCCACCACTCACCGGTCATCCACCCGCTACTACCCACCACCGAAGACAAACCGAGAGTTTTCCTAAAACAATCCCTAAGGATCGTACATCCGAGCATATAAATTACATCACCCATGTCCATCATATCTAAAATAGAGGACTGCCCATCCTAGGTGGCGACAACCTTATAAATTCCTGGCTCATAATAAC